ATACCATTCATTGTTACTACACAATGTAGTGTAGCTTACCATCCATTGTTACTACACACTGTATTGTAGATTACCATTCATTGTTGCTACGCACTCTATTGCATCGTAATATTGGTTGTTTCTACAGAAGGGACGGAATACAAAGGAAGTTACCTCCCTGACTGAAGTAAATGAGTCACAATGCCGCCCAGTTCAGGAGGTATGTCTACGGTGTTGTCAATGTGTTTGTGACTTACAATCTGACGTCATGATAAACGTGTGCAATAACTATGCTCTCTTAATCTTAGATAAGCTGTTCCTTGATAATGGTCCTTAAACTAGTGCTGCATCGTGAATAACATTACACCTCTTTAAGAGTTGTGTTTGAAGCTGTTTCTATAATAAATATGTAAACTGTGAAAAAAGTAATCAGATTTTTAAATATAACATACAAATATCATATCAGCTTAGTGTTTTGGGGGGTTTTCGGCAAAGAAACCCTTCTCATAGCTACTATCATGTACAGCAGAGATAGACAGACAGACAGACAGATTCTTTATTTCCTCCGGATAGAGATTTCAAAATAACATCAAACAATTCCGTTTTCTATTCTGCATCCAACAGGAATTAGCCAGATATAGTGCCACCTACCGGTACGAGGAACTAGTGGGTAGACTACCACCTGTAGGAGTTGACCCGGCATGTAAAGAAGTAAGCAGTTCCGACCTTTTTATTGTAACTCTGCAAGTTTTGATTGTTTGTCTTTGCAAAACTTTGCCCTCCTCTCATGCAATCCACGTGTGACTGTTATGATGTTATTCTATTTATTAACCCTGATGTCATTGTCTTCCATATACATGCACATCGTCCTTCAGTCCGAGTGATAGTGTATATACAGTACACTTACATGTACTTACCTTTGTTAGATATTGGTGCTGTCTTGAGTTGTCTCCCCATAACGTGGAGACGTACTTACCTGTGTTAGATATTGGTGTTGTCTTGAGTTGTCTCCCCATTACGTGGAGACGTACTTACCTTTGTTAGATATGGGATAGAGACGTACTTACCTTTGTTAGATATAGGCGTGGTCTTGAGGTGTCCCCCCATTACGTGGAGACGTACTTACTTCTGTTAGATATTGGTGTGGTATTGAGTTGTCTCCCCATTACGTTGAGACGTACTTACCTCTGTTAGATATTGGTGTGGTCTTGAGTTGTCTCCCCATTACATAGAGACGTACTTACCTTTGTTAGATATAGGTGTGGTCTTGAGGTGTCCCCCCATTACGTGGAGACGTACTTACCTTTGTTAGATATTGGTGT